CCATTTTATAGCCGTTGGGATCTGTTGCAGTGGTAATCGATTCCCAACTTGACAGCAAGAACACTGTTTCATATTTTGGCTATAATTTGAGTTATACTGCTTGGATTGATGTGATCTTGATCTCTTTGGAAAGATAAAAGAGAGATCTACAACTTTTATGAAGAACACAAGATCCAAATCAATCATATTAGATACGAAAAAGTGTATGGAAGGAAGCAGCGAAATTAAGCAATAAATTTTAAGTTCAAATGTGTTATAGCTTGCTTCCAACTACTTTTTGTGAAAGATATTGACTTGATAAATATGTTTTGAAGTTATAAAATATGTCAAGAATATTTTTCATGGATTTTTCAAATTTCTTTCAAGTATATAAAAGTTATGATTATGCAATTTGAAAAACATGTTTACTTTGAGAAAAAACTTTGAGCTCATGCAATGCAATCTATCATATACCCTCACATATATTTTAAGTCATAGAGATATATTCTAAATATGATTTTAGACTTAGCTTTATGTCTTGTGTCTTGGATCTTTACTTGAACTTGATGCTTTGACTTGTTGGATATGACAATGCTTGACACTTTGTTGGTTTTGACCATTTTTCACCATGGTTATGATATTGAGCTTCTCTTAGATGATGTCCATGGTTAGTTGTCTTTGATCTTGGTGTTGCTCTTCTAATTATTCCTTGTTGCTCTTGATCCAATGATCTTGCCACTTTGATATGATATCACTCTTCTTGTGTGGCTGCATCATACATCTTCAATATCCACATATGATTGATGTTTTTTTTCTTGATCAAAGCTCTTCTTTTTTTGTTGTTGCCACTTTGTTATCAATAAAACATACCTTGTATCTACAAAAGATAGTTTGTAGTGCTATATTTAACAGGAACAAGAAGTTCCAGAATTCAAATTGTTATTGTTATGTCATAATTCACCATATCTCATTACGATGCAACACAAAACAACACGGCAAATATTACTGACAGACAGAAAATATAATATTTCTTAATCCAACAAATGACTGATTACAATATTCACTTAATCCATTTAATGTCCAATTAATATAACAATCGATTACAAATTTGTTTAATCAATTAAATTTGTGACTTGTTTATCTGCTTGTTTTCTTTGCAGCGTTGTCCTTATATGAAACAAAAAATAAGCAAGAGTTGTGAAAAAGTTGAAATAAGAACATTAGCTGATAAAAATATAATTAGAACAAAAAAAAAAACAAAGCAACTCAAACACGATTTTTATTAAAAGTTTTTTTTTACTTCTCAAACCTAGTACACTTCACACGTAGATTTTTTTCAATATAGCAATTAATGCTTTATTAAAACGTGTACGTTTCTGATATGACTAAAGATAAAAAAAAAGCAAATTTTGCAGCTTTTAAAAAATGAAAAGAAGCGACAGGTTTCATAGACACATTAAAAAGGCTTTATAACAGTTTACCAAAAAAAAAAAAAAAAGCTTTATAACAAAGATGAGGGAGAATGGTGAAAAATGAAAAAAAAAAAAAAGGGAACGATGAAAAAAAGGGTGGAGTGATGGACCAGATTTTATGAGAAGAGCTTTTTTATTTTCTGCCATTGACGAATACATGGTTCGGGGTGCTTCCATTGGAAGTTTTATAAGGAGAATAGATCAAAAATATTATTTGTGACGAAATTTGATTATTTATGTCAAAAATTATCATTTGTGATAAAATTTATGACAAAAATTTTTCGTCACAAATAAACTTTTTTCTTGTAGTAAAGGGGAGGAAGCTGCAAGAAGAAACTAGAGAACCATTTTTTTCTGGGAAAACAACCACCACTGTCTCCATCCCACCCCACCTCCAACTGCAAGTCTCGCCATTTTCTCTCCGTTTTTTTGACTTCATTGCATATCCAAGCCATCTACAATGGCAGAAGCGTGTTCTGATTTTTTTTTTTTTACTTTTATATTTATTTTAGAATTATTTTAATTTTATAAAATTTTACATTTTTACCTTTTGACCATATCCGATACGGTCAAACTTGCGTGTCGAGATAGTCAAATAGTCAACGTATCTTAAAATATTGACATGTGTCGAACGCGTGTCAAAACATGTGTGCGTCGGTGTCCGACGTATTTTTCTAAAAAAATCATGTGTCCATGTATCCTAGAATATACCGTGTGTATTCGTTTGAACATTCACTGTCCTTAATTAGGTCTTGTAGGCTTGGGGTGTATTCGTTTTAATAAATGTTGTACCACTAACAACATATAGTGACTTTAAATTTAAATAAAGCAATTATCCAAATTAATCTTCCACTATTCCTTCTTCTTCTTCTTCTTTTCTATTTTTAGTTGTATGTATGCTCCCCTTCGCTTGTCACGGATTAATTCATCTCTAAAATTTGAATGCCCCAATAAATTGACCTTTTTTTTTTATTTGGTTGGATTCAAGCCGTTAATAACGTGTAAAACTTTTGACAAAAATTACGCAACTTCTGAAATATTTAATGATTTAATTAAAATATGAATTGGTTTTTTTAAAAAGTATTATATGGGTGTATTTTATTTATTCATTATCAGCATTAGACTTTTTAATTAATACTATCATATTATTGACCCATATAAAATAGTTTGCCTTTTCATCAGTGGAAGAGCCAGTATGGCATATTAGCAAGTGCCGAAAAATACTATTGCCCAAATAGCCACAGTTCTATGGTTACAACTAAAACGTGACTAATTTTCAAAAAAATTGAAAGAGAATTTGCTACATTTCAAGTAGCTAAATGAACGTAGCTAAATAAGCCAGTGCCAAGACAACCGCTGGCTTCAACGTGGCTCTGCCACTGCTTTTCAGGTTATTATTTATTATAATTAAGTTTTTTAATAATGATAATAGGGGAAGGGGAAGGATATTGTGACAACCAAGTTGTGTTACTACCAAGTGACTACCAATCAATCTCACCATTAGATCGATTATGTTGATCCAACGATTATATTTATTTCCATCTTTGTATGGTCATGATTCCCCATATTTAAAGTGAAAGCATTAAATATGGAAAATCATAATCATACAAAGGTGAAAATAAATATAAAGTATTAAATTTGAGAAATCATGACCATACAAAGATGGAAATAAATATAACCGTTGGATCAACATAATCGATCTAACGGTAAGATTGATTGGTAGTCACTTGGTAGTAACACAACTTGGTTGTCACAATATCCTTCCCCATGATAATAATATAATATAAAGTTATTCTAATAATAAAGGGGAAGGATATTGTGACAACCAAGTTGTATTACTACCAAGTGACTACCAATTAATCTTACCGTTAGATCGATTATGTGGATCCAACGGTTATATTTATTTCCATCTTTGTATGGTCACGATTTCTCAAATTTAATACTTTATATTTATTTTCACCTTTGTATGGTTATGATTTCTCATATTTAATGTTTTCACTTTAAATATGGCGAATCATGACCATACAAAGATGGAAATAAATATAACCATTGGATCAACATAATCAATCTAACGGTGAGATTGATTGGTAGTCACTTGGTAGTAACACAACTTGGTTGTCACAATATCCTTCCCCAATAATAAATCAACTTTAATTTCATTATAATTTGTAAATGACTTATAAATATAAATCCTTAAGATTATGTAAATTAATTATACATGTATAATCAAGTTTAAAACGTAATGTCACGTGGCTTCCTTACGTAGTCATATTTTTTTTTATCATTTATGTAAGATCAAATGATTAAAATTATTTTTGTGTGTCAACGTGTACATAACAAATGCACTTGTTAACCTAGCAATAAATATTTAAGATGACGGATAAAGCTCATCTAAATGAGCATGTCTTCAAAGTCAACAAATAAGGATATATTCACCTTTCATTTAATTTATATTATATCATGATCTTAACTTCCTAAAATTTTAGAGGATGCATATTTAACTATTTTAAAAATAGGGTTAAGTGTTTTTTTTTTAAAAGATATAAGTTATATTTTTTTAGTTTTTAACACTATCTTTTACTAGTAAGATTATAATAAGTTATTCTTTTTTTCTCTCCACATTAACTGAAGTGACTGAGTAGAAAAAAAAAATATTATAATTATGTCTTACCGTAAGACATAGTGTTAAATACTAAAAAAACATAAGGTTGTGTGCTTTTAAAAGCACAAACATTTCTCCCTTAAAAATAATATCATTATAGATAATAAAAAAAATTCAAGATGAAGTGGTCCTTCTTCGGAATTCCATGGGGTTAATTGGATTCCGTTTTGCATGTGTCGTCAAACACGATGTGGGGACAACGTTGATTGATAGCAACACCTAGTTAACCACATGTATTTTGGCCTCAAATATGAAATGCCATGTTTGTTAATTATTTAAGCAGACCGGGAGTTATCCACCCCCACTACTGCACAAACAACTTGTAAGATTACAGCAAGCCCTGATTGCTACTTCATTTGAATACTCAAATTGATGATCACTGGTGAAGAGGCCACATGACAATTAACAGGTTATAAATACTTGTTTGAGATATGAGAATGAGGGAGAAGAAAATGTGACTAAGTTGCAGTGGAGGGTTTGCACTTTGTTCTCACAAGTTGCATTAGTATAGAATTTGCAATTTTCTGATGCTCAAAAGCCGCACTGGAGGATTGGATTTCAACTTTGTCCATGTAAAAGTTGCGTTGGTTAAGGGTTTACAGCTTTTCATCCGTGCCTAAGTTGTGGTGTAAGGGGAATTATAGCATTATCCATGGCAAAAATATTGTAATGTTAATCATAATAAATTCAATATAATTCATCCGTGGATGTAGGTATGTTAGACAGAACTATGTTAAACTTATATATGTTTGTGATATTTTTCCCCATAAATATTTATCAAGGAAATGTAGATGGCCATAGGGTATGCATGCACTTGGTACTTGCAAAAGTTGCTCTGTCAGCTTGAAGTATAATGGGTGTACAAAATCGATATATTAACATAACAGCCTGTGTTCTGTCAATTTATCTCACAACAGGTTGTACAAAAAGAATTAACAAAAAGAACAAATGAAAAATAGTAAATACGGTTTCATTGTTCATTTCACAGGGTATTGACATTCGCAGATTATATAATCATATTTGCTAAAGTTGATCTTTTGGAACTTCTATCTTGGCTTGATGCTTGGTATATCTCCACTAACAAGGTCACTACCCGACACATCTCCTGAAATTAAATGAGTCTTTAGAGTAGATGATGAATGTGGTGAACTGAATATTGTTCCAGAATCACTTGCCACATATTCAACTCCCTTGGCATCGGACTCAGATATCATAGACCAGATGTTTTCAAGCTCCCTAACCACTTCTGCCATTTTTGGCCGTTCATCTGGTGCATTTTCGCAACACTTTAAGGCCAAAGTCAAAAATTTCCCCAAACACTCAGAAGGATAAGACCCCATACGTTTATCAACAACCGAAAAGATTCCACCAGATTGGAACGCCACAGTAACCTGGAAAATAAAATAAAATAAGAAGTGTCTATTATCTTCATATGAATTTGACAAGCGGTACAAATTACTTGGACATTATATAATTTGACTAAACCTATGCCAGATACTTAGTGCTGTCTAGACCAAAACCTTTGATTAATAGGATAAAGGTTGAACATTAAAGCTGCAATCACAATTGTCAGGAACAGAAGCCCAGCAATACCTGTCTAATAATATTTTCACCATGAAATATTGGTGGCCTCCCTGTCACAAGTTCCAGAAATACAACACCAAGACTATAAACATCACTCTTATCAGTCAACTTGTGAGTTAAGAAGTACTCTGGATCAAGGTAACCCTGCTTGGACAAACAATTGAGAGAGTAAATCATTGAACAGATAAAATCAACCTTGCCAATGTATAAAAATATATCAAGAACTGTAAAGAACCTTGGGATACACCACCCCAAAAGCTAGCTCAAAGGGTGAGAGTGCCCAAGACCTTATAAACTCCACATTAGTTGCACATACAACCAATGTGGGACTATATATCTCAACACGCCCCCTCACACGAGAGCCCACTGGGCTTGAAGGGTGGACAATGCACAGGCCCAATTTTTGGTGTACCTTTTGTGCTTTTTTATTTTAATTCCACTTTAAAGTGGGAGGCGGTGAGGATCAAGCTCTGATACCATGTAAAGAACCTTGGGATACACCACCCCAAAAGCTAGCTCAAAGGGTGAGAGTGCCCAAGACCTTATAAACTCCACATTAGTTGCACATACAACCAATGTGGGACTATATATCTCAACAAGAACTACTAAAAAGTACATGACTAAATCAAAGAATACTACTAGACTGGTAATAAACAGAAAGAAGATGAAATTCATTGGTTGCTAACTTGCTATAAATTTCTGAAACTACATTATCAGTTACTAAACAATTCAACAAAAAATTTCCATGAGGAACTTACGCCCTAAAATCTAGTCATACAAACCCTTTGTCTTTCAGTCTTTAGGTTTGTTCAAGAAATAGATAGCTAAAGGTAAAAGATAAAATCTTGATCAGGTGAAATTGTTTTGCAATCACAATTAATTTGATTATCAAACTCATATCTTCAGTGGACCATTCTTTAGGCTGCTTAAAAAGTTACACCAAAAAATTTAAGCCTTGCACATAACCACTAATTGGCCTACCAATAACTAGCTCGGAGCTTAGGTTTAAAGTTTAAGTGCCAGTCAAAATACATGAAATATGTTTTTCAAGTTCATATCTCTTCTGGCGTGGAAGGATGAATTCAACAATGTCACATCATCTCTGATGGACTCAAGAGGCACAACTCAACAAGATATCTCTCTTGTAAATGCAAAGGCCAAAGCTCTTAAGCATGCATCTCTACAATTCACATATTTCATCTCATTCACTTATTGACATAAGTGTCGAAGTCAATTATTTCACCTCATTCTCTTCTTCACAATTCAAGTGTACTACCACTTCTTACCCACCGGAATGCATGGAGGAGCCACCATCAGCCATCACCAAACAAAAGTGATATTTCAAGTCAACCAGTGTAATACAGACTGAACACTTCTAATGTTTCAGATATGTTGATGGTATACCTAAGCATGGATAGAAGAAACACCCACTACCGTGGGAGAGAAGGAACTTAAATTTAGGAAAAGGAAAGTATTTGTCAAGTATGGGAAATGAGGTTGGTTTGAGAAATCCATACCCAGCATTGACGATTGTTTACGGGCATAAAATTTTCTAAAGGGAAAAGTTTATAAACCCCCCGTGGTTTACTCTTTTATCACTTACACCTCTATGCCTTTTTTCTTATCAAAAACCCCTTGTGGTTTTATTCCATCCAAGCCCACCTTTAACACCGTTAGTAATTGAACTAACTTTCCTATTTTACCCTTCTAATGTCCATATAATCGTTTACGCACGTTTGCCACTTCATGTGTCTACATTATGAGAGGCTACTTCTGGATGCCATTGAAGGAGAAAGAAGACTCTTCATACGTAGTGATGAAGTGGATGCTTGGTCACTCTTTACACCTGTTTTGAGTGAGCTACAAGAGAAAAAGATAATTTCAGAGTACTATCCTTACGGTAGTAGGGGTCCTGTTGGTGCTCACTATCTTGCAGCGAGATACAACGTACGGTAGGGTGACCTTATATATGTTAACCAATAACCCTCACATTTTGTTGCAGCTGTGATTAGCCTCATATGTTAGCTAACATGCATGTTGATTTGAGGTTTCTTGTTGAAGTGCACTTTTTTTTTTTCCTCATATTATTGGCACGTTTACTTCCCTAGTTGAAGACAGGTGCTAGGCATTATTTGAGTAAAATTGGCAAGTTAGTTCAATTACTAATGATCTTAAAGGTGGATTTGGATAGAATAAAACCATAGGGGGTAATTGATAGGAAAAAAAGCATAGGGGTGTAAGTGATATATATATATATATATATATATATATATATATATATGTATAAAATTTACATAAAAAAAAGGTTAGAGTGCAAGAGTATGAGATTTATCTGAACCTTCTCAAAACATTAATACTGATGCTTTACGATTAATAACATTTTTCCAAATGATGCCATCCTAATAATTCTTTTCCTATTATTCAATAGTAAAAGTATAATAGTTCCAACTGCACCATATACCTGCCCTTCTAAGTTTCAATGCCCCTTATTCTCTCCAAAAGAAACATCCAAACAATGCCCAAGGTTAGCCCAGTGTCAATGACAAAATTAGCAGTAGAATGAGAAAATGATCAATTCCATCATTGTATCTAAAATGGAATCATTGACAGAGCTTGGATAGATTGGGCAACCTTCTTAAATTAATGAATTGTTCTACATTTGCTTTTTGTAATTTTGTAGAAGGATGTCTTATCCACTAGCAAAAGTAAATCCAGTTATAAAAGCCTTACCGGGGTCCCCTTTACCACTGTAGATACATGACCAGGAAGATTTCCTTCAATATCTGGAACCGGGGCAAGCCGTGAAAGTCCAAAATCAGCAACTTTTGCTGTGAACTTAGAGTCCAACAATATATTGCTCGCCTTGACATCCCGGTGGAATATTGGAGGATCAGCTTCTGTGTGTAGATACAGAAGACCTTTAGCTGACCCTATAGCCATCTTCAATCTCATGGGAAAACTAAGAGGTTCTTTTGAATGAACTGTCATAAAACATTAAGTACACAGTTAGAGACAAAATAGAAGGGCATGCCTTTTCTATAAAATAAATTATCCAAACCTCTTTGTACTTCAAATCGGAACCAGAAAGAGAAAGGAAAACTTATACAGGCAAAACAATATCAGTTCTTTTATCATTCATGACATAGTCAATGGTATGGACACCGGTAATTTAATAGACAATAAAGCAAATTAGATAATAAGAGCATAAGATGTACCAGAAAGATGATCCCTCAGCGTTCCATTGGGCATGTATTCATAAACCAGCATCTGCAAGCACAAAGCAACAAACCAAACGAAAAAAAAAAGTAGTCAGAAGGAAAGACGATTGAAGGGAGAATCAGAACCAAAATGTTTTGAAAGGGAAGATAATAAGAAAAAGAATATGAATTTGGATTTTACCTAACTTCCATTGGTTCTAGCTTACGCAAATTTATGTCATATCAAAATATCCCTTGTTTCAAGAATGACTCATAAAGAGCAGAAACTCAAGAACACCTTGCCATGTTTTGCAACCATGAATTCCTTCCTTTTATATAAAGTTATTCAGGCGAAGCTGTTTTATGCACTTACCTCCTCTTTTCAATGAAATGTTTTCAATTTTGATTTTAATCAGCATCCTATTTTTAGTACAAGCATATTCTCAAGGAGTCAACATGTGACGGCAAGCTAGTGGGACTAGTGGAAATTAAAACTTCCAAAAACAAATCAAGAGTTGAATGAAGAAATACACAAATAATGAATATTATTTTCCTCAATGATACTATACATGGGTTCAGTTTATTATATAAACCTAATTAAATATTTACATACCTAAAATAATGACTAGTCTATGAAAACATAATTTTTACAATAATTACAATGAATACAGTGAATATTATGCAGTAAGGAATAGTAAAAGATGTGGGATTGTTACAATACTCTCCCTCAAGCTGAAGAATAGATATCTATTATTCCCAGCTTTCCAGTAAGATCCAGAAACCTCTCCGAGGGAAGCCTTTTAGTAAACACATTTGCTAGTTGCACCCCTAAAGCAATGTATGTGCTGTTAACTAATTTAGGATCTTAGAGGCAAGCTGGGAATTATAGATATTTATTTACTAGCTTGAGGAGGAGTGTTGTAATAGTCCTACATCTTTTCCCATTCCTTAATGCATAATATTCATTATACATCATTGTAATTATTTTAAATATTCTGTTTCTATAGATTATTCATTATTTTAGGCAAGTAATTATTTTGTTGGGTTTATTATAATGATATATAGGGATAATACAATGAATATTATGTAGTAAGTAACAGTAAAAGATGCGTGACTATTAACACCAAGAATCAAAGACAACTAAATATTTTTACTAAAACCATTCGATTGAGTTTAGATTTCTAAAGTTTAAAACAGAAGTTACCTGTTCACCCTTTTCATCACAGTATCCAATCAGAGACACAAGGTTGCGATGATGTACCCTTGATAGCAAATGTATTTCTGTACGGAACTCCATCTCACCTTGCAGTGATCCCTCCTGTGCACGTTTTATGGCAACAAGAGTGCCATCAGAAAGAATACCTTTATAAACCTTTCCATACCCCCCTTGTCCAACTTCTGCGGAGTCACTAAAATTGTTTGTAGCCAAGGCCATTTCTTCATAATCAAATGATCTTACACCATCAAATTTCATTGAGATCCTAGATGCTGTGAAAAAATAGAAAACTATGTTTAAGATATATTTTAATCAACTTATACCAATCTGATATGGTTAGTATCAGTAAATTCCCAGTTCCTTATTTCTTTTAACATTACAACCTCCAAGTACCCCCACCCCCTTCTTAATTCGTCCGGGACCAACAATTTCAACTTGAGTTACTATTTTTGATATGCAGAGAGACCAGGAAGCCTTGCCTAGGTTTTTTCTTGTTACTTGTTGTAACTAGAATTTTGAGCCTTGGATATACTTGTACTTTCCCCCTTTTATCTCTAATAAAGTATCCTTCTATCAAAAACAAGGGGGGAACGAGACCAAAGGGGTATAAAATCAGTGAAATAATAATTTTCAGTGGAAAATGAGGCTCAACATGGATCGTACAATTCTTTCAGGAAATCAATTTATTATGAAAGCATTCTTGAGAACATCCCAATCCATGCCAACAGGCACTGTCCCAAAAGGTTAATGTGAAAACATTAACACTATTCTGAATGATGTAAAAGATAATTAGCTTTAGAGTATGCCAACAGGGACAATCCCAAAAGGTTAATGTGAAAACATTACGACTGTTCTGAATGGTGATAAAAGGTAATTAGATTTAGAATATGGTTCAGTCAAAATAACATTATGTCCAATAACATCTAGACTTCTGATTGTGAAAGAGCCAGAGCATTGAAGACAAGACAGAGAAAATTAATAATAAGCTAGCTTATTCATTATAAGGTACTTACCATTACGCCGTCTGGAAAGCACACGGTAATCTCTCAAGCGTATTCTCAATATTAGAATGGAAACAATTGCAGATAATGTGACTGCACCTGCAATTGCACCTAAAACTATTCCAGCCAGTGCACCCTTGCTTATCCCTGAACTTGGAGAAGTGATAATCACTGTCGCAATAATAAGCAATAGTATGAGAACAACCATAAAACAGTTTGCAAATATGATATTCCATATATGGATCAAATAATGCAGCAGCTTATTCATTGATGAGTTCTAGTGACATTAAGTTTCCAAATTTAACTGGTTTTGTTTAAAGTTTCTCTTAACTTGACAGCAACATGCAACATGTACAATATAATACGGAACAGAGCACTGCATCTCCATCGTGCAATTCTGTGAATTATCACAACACAGACGTTTCATTTTTGTCATGACATCTCTAAAGAATTAGAATGAGCAAATCAAAATATGCTTTGAATTTGAGGAGTAATCGACAGATGTCAACTCATCCAGAATATCATAGCTAAATAAAGGTCGACAAAATGCAACTGCACCACAGCTTCGGAGCAGTCACATACTAAATGGCAATATAAGTAAAGGAAAATTTTAGTTAGACTATCTTCGCAAACTTTGACATGCGAAGCATGAGTTATACTATAGAAAGATGATTCATTTACAGAAACTGGAGAACCACTAGCTCAACATGCAGAAAAAAATTATACCAACAATCCATCAATAGGCCTGAGAGTGAAATTTATACAGTAATACTGTTCAACAACCTAAAGATAATTCAAATGCAAATTTGCTGTTAATAGTGTCCAAGTTCCACCAAACACTAGCAGATCATAACAAGTTTCTGTGACTTACCATCCCTGTAAGGATCCAGGAGAATGAAGTCTATAAGTTCATAAGGCCCGAACAAGTCACTGTCTTGAATAGTCCACTCTCTGAACAAGTTTCTGATTCGAAAAACCTCACTTGTATTGAAAATATGAGAGCTTCTATTGTCAACATATATAGGAAAAAGCTTCAAGTACATTCTCAACCGAGGCCCTTCTTCCCATGCAAAACTATTAATGAATAGCTGATTAATATGTATGTTAAGACTATCTGTCAGGAAGCTCTCAAATGCATCCACGTAAGTACGGAAATCTGAAAATCCTGGACTTTTCAACCGATAATCAATGATCAATGGGGCTGCACAGAAACACTCCACATTGTATTCATAAGGAGGAGGGCATGCCTGACTAGGACAGCTGACACTGGAGCTACTGTTCACGCCATTGTCACTTCCAGCTCCACAGAACTGAACTAAGGTGTTATTATTTGAGCATAGAGGATTTCCCTCAAGCCTGAAAAATCATAATTTTCAAATTATAATGTGACAAGCTATCCAAAAAAGATGGAATATATGTTGAATGCAATGTTCAACAATTTTCGACCTTCACCATAAGGATACTAATCATACTAATATTTTGAATATGCATAACAAGGAGAAACTCCAGTCCTCACTACCCTGATTTCAGTATAGACTGCAATATAAGTTTAGAAGCATACAAGACTGTGACATTTGGAGGAAGATTTGTACTGCCTGATATGCTTGTAAGTTGATTATTTTGCATGTCCCTGCAAGATCACAAGTCAAGCCCAAGCTGAGGTTCAGTAGCATCTATGCAAAAGGAAATACAAAAGCATAACACAACACACATAAGAATGTAAGATGCCTCAAAAAATATACAGAAATCTGCATGTTGACACACATACTATCAGCTAATGCACCCCCCCCCCCCCCCCCCAACCCCACCCCAAACCACCATCTTTTCTAGATGAAACCGAAGAGTGCACACCCACACACTCCCAAATACAGATATACGTGAGAAAAAATGTGCAATTATCATTTCAGGTCTTACAGGAGAAGCATTTCTGTTGCATTAGTCTTGTTCTGCCAAATGTTAGAAGGAATATTGCCACTCAATGAATTGTTTGCAAGTGACCTGTCATAGGGAAAGATATGTCTTGAAAAGCCATTGATTTTATAGAGTGATATATAAAATTAAAAATTAAAAAAAATAGAATCTTGACTTATAAATTCAACAAAATATGATTTGTAAGATAAGTTGATGGACAGTTAACGCTATTTGGTTTATAGTTTGCAGTACAGCTTGATGTAGAAGAAGAAAGGATGAAAGAATTAACAACTTACAATTTCTGAAGATGTGGCAGACCAGAAAAGTAGGATGGAATAGTTCCAGTAAGCTTGTTGTTTGATAAATCACTGCACATGTATCCAAAAAATAAATAAATCACTGCGCACATTCCCAGAGATCAAACAATAAAATTATATGAAATCCATGTAATCATATTCTGAAGATTTCTCCAGACCACTTAACATATGAGGAAAATATCCACATTGGGAATCCAAATAGTGAATGGAATGCAAGACCTATAGATGACATATTGTTCAAGCAATAGAGGATCTTACATGGTAGTGATATTTTCAGAAAGCTTCTTAGAAAGAATTGATTCATTCAACTGATTGAAACTGAGGTCGCTGGAATATACAGAAAAAACAGTCAGTAGAAATAGTTACAAACAGTCTTAGACTGTCTTTTAAACATGCATATCTTACTATCCTCTTTGTCATGTGCAGCCACTTCTCTTAATACAGAATCCTATAAATCAATACATAAAATGAGTTGAACAAAATTTAGATAACTGAACTTACAGATAACCAAGGTCTGGTATCCTGCTTAAATCAGGAATCGGTCCTTGCAAGTTGCAGTTCCTAAGGCTCCTGATAAAACCAAGTAACATATAGATGGTCAATCTTACACACACAACATTTCTCTTTCTCCTGACTAAACTAAAAATTTGTGACAAAAAATTTTATTAAGCAGAACGAAGTAGGAATATAAGGAGAGACAATGTGGTATCCTGACTATCCTCCAAATAAAGAAAAAAGAAAATAGACCAAATAATTCCAAAGCAACTCGGACATCAGACAAATGCATCAGCGACAGAACATTATTCCCAATGATTCGTTACTCATTGAATGTTATAAGATACTCGTTTAAAGAAAGAAAGATGATAAGACCACGTTATACTAATTGATTCAAACAACTATATGTATGTTTATGACATTCTTTTTCATTTATGGTGCAAGTGATCAACTGTCTAAATATCATTTCCAGAAGCAATATTGATGATTGTATTTTTTTTAATTGTTTGACCTTTACTTTTAAACTCCTTGCCAATGTTTTTCTCTAATTGAAAGTTCCATATGCAAGAAATTACGGTATAGTATGTCAAATTGGTAATTCACAACAAAACATTAAAAGCTCTAGCACCTCAGCTCCCCCTGGTCTCCTTGTACTGGTAACTTATTTATAGATACGGGATCACAAAATGCACTTACAATTTCAACAATTTTGACATGTTGACATAAGAATCTGGAATGCTGTTTCCACCAAAATTATTGTTGTCAAGTTGACTGCAAGAACAAGAAGATCCAAGAAATGCTTTAAAAATATAATTATCAAGCAAGGAATATTCATAAAATCAGTCAATATTTTAAAAGCAACATAAAACAAAAAAAAGGATCTAAAATCTCTACAATGACAAAAATAGCAACTTTCCAGTATTGTAGTCCAAATTGTAAACATTTATTATAGGGCCTGGCTGTAATACTTATTTTATCACATGTTTATTACCTGCATATGGATAATAACTGTCAGAATATTCTACGCTAGACTTCAGGACAATGACTCCTGTAATCTCTCCTGCAATGTAAGGCATTTGAACTCTGCCTAGTTAATGAGAAAGGGCCACAGAGAGCCGATCAGCTTTTTGCAAAAAGATCTCTTGATATTTGATGTCGTATCTCTTGATATTTGACACAAATTATGATATATGACACCATTGGCGAAGCATTCACTCCTTAGTTCTTAACTTAACCCTAGAATTTCAATTCTTGCAACTGGAGATTGATTTGTATTATATATAAAGAACCATTTCAATGCAAAAGCTTAAGCTGTTAGGTGAGGCTACATTCATAGTTTTATATTATATTTCTCTAATAATTTTGCAGTATTGCCTAGGCTTGTACCATTCCATAGAATTACCATACTTAAACTGTAATGATTTACCCTTAGATAAATCCATAGTTTCCTTCTTCTTCTTCTTTTTATTTGGTAGGTGGTCTAAATCCTGGTGGGAAGGGGGAGGGCTAGCTAAAGTGGAAGCAAAGCAACCTAAGTGCAAATTGATCCCAGTATCAAGTAGTTCCAAATGGGACCTTATGCCACTTGTGCTAAGGCTCTAGGGCCATGATATCCTTCTTTAAATAAAGCAACTCCTTGAATAGAGTATAGATATGATGTCATAAGAACATTATAGTACTCTAGTGATTCAACCAAATATTACATTTGTTGCCTCCCATTCTTCATGGTTAACACCTAGTAGAAGACATCTCTGTGTCAACAAAAAGACTTCTGCAGTAAGAAATAATAAGGAAAATCCTAAATTGATCCTTTGGCGTCCAGCTCTCCAGCAATTCAGTTAAACCTTTTACAGAGTCCATCCTTTTAGTTCTCCAGGTTTTTCCAGTCAACTTGTATAACATGTTGGGAATATTTCATTCTCTGATTTGGTTTGAAGGATTCTCATCAAGATCCTTTTCTCTATGTTTTTAGAACTACTCTCCATTCGATTGTCTTCTTTGTTTTTCATATGAATGAATAGGAACAGTTTTTGCTCTCTGTTAAATTCATTATAAATAGCATGCAACATGAAGCAGTGGAATGCATGCTTAACATCACCTTGAAGTTGACACGATATTAATTTAGTTTTATTATTGTGGCCGCTATGTTGAAAGGACAATTATTGGTTTAGCAGCCCTGTGACACTGCTATGCAGAATTAAGCATGAAGCACTATTGTGCCACTTGAACATCTAATGTTCTATTATAGCTAATGAAGCACGCCATGAAGACAAATATTCTCTTTTTTTAAGCAAATGAAACATTATAGAGTGATTGCCACTTTGTTAACGTTTTTCAATTCTTCTTCAATTTTTCGTCCTTTTATAAATCACCGGGTAATATATCACACGAATCATACATTATCAATGCTTCTCACTATTTAAAAATCTCTCAGTAAAACTGTTCTACTTAAGTTGAAGTACACTTCATGAAAATGACCAATGGCTAAACTGTTTATGGATGCAGAGGTGCATCATAACATAAATTTGTCGTTTTCTAAATAGTGCATTTGGTAAAAACTTCCATGACAAAGTAATGCTGAAGAATAAATTGAAAAGAAAATAATCAATTCTAAAGGTACCTTATATTTGAAATAAGAATGATATGTAATTTATAGAGCCTAACGTGCTAACTAATAAGGTACTTTAATCACATATGAAAGAATCTCCGATATAAGGGAAAGGAAAGGATAAAAAGAAAGGCATATTCCGATGCATAAGGCTCCAAGGGAAACAAAAAAGAGCCAATTACTATGTTATGATATATAAATGGATTGTCTCATGTGAGTTTTTCACTTGATAGGTCATGTTAAAAGAGATAGAAATAACGACCCTAAATAGTACCCCCCATAAATTTCTTTTGGCCCTCTTTGTCTACCTCCCTCTTCAAATGACCCTTTCATATGAAAACTCAAATGAGAGGTTTCATACCCTATATTTTATTATTTAACAGTCCAAATCATATACGTTATAAGAAAAATGGAACAGTCAATGGAGATTTGAACCCAGTGGAGGAGGAGTGAAATGTTCCCAAATCCATAAAGAATACGTGCTCTATTCATCCCGAACAAAATGGAAAGTAAATGAGCGTACAGGAATTAAACACATATACAGCACAAATAATAACAAATCATACAGTATCTTTAAGCTTGGCATCTCAGAGAGCTCCGAGGGGAGATATCCTGATAACTTGTTGTTGTCAAGAAGACTGCACGTCCAGAGATACATATTGTCAATAAGATAGACATAACAATGAAGGATTAAATAAAACCAGAAAATATGTTAAAGACTGCAATTATGTCACCCATATCTGATTATCTGAACACAAACTTACAGGTGAAGTAGGCTTCCTAAGCGAGAAAGCTTTGGTGGGATTTGTCCACTGAGTGAATTATTGTTCATGTGACTGCTCAATTAGGGGGAAAGATGAAGCGATATTTTCATTCATTTTTTCAGTAAGAATAGCAAACGTAGATAAATAAAAGAATTCAAGTAAATTAACAAGATTGGTAATTTTTCAAACTGTATTAATCATCATAGAGAACATTACAAGTGCTGTGTGCTGTTCAGGTTTGCAAATGATGAAGGAATAGATCCTGTAATATTGTTCTGATCGATTTGCATTCTGTCCAGGACTGGAAGATAGCCAAGCTCTTCTGGCAACAGACCTCTTAAATGATTTCCACTCAGGAGCCTACAAAAACTTTACTTAATAAGAAAGAAAGCAGAAACGATGTAGCTCGTCATGTCAATATATCAACAATTTGAATTTATTTTTTTATACTATAGAAACTAGTATTTAACTTCAATTTATATAGAAAACACTATTATGATTGATCCAATAACAAGTTTGTTCATGTATTCATGTATTAATATGTGTGAAATGACTCAGAATTACCAAGGTTGCAAAACAACTAGATTATTTAATCATATGATGGCCAGCATATTGTCCTAGATGGACGATTCAACTTACAAGAGTTTCAAAGTTTTGATATTGCCAATTTCCTTCGGTATACTCCCACTTATGTTGTTCCACATAAAGTCCCTTCCAAGAATACAAATAAAAGAATATATCAAAGGAAGAATATGTGATTGCAAGCTGCTACACGATGGAAATATTGATATGAATCAAATCTACTATATTCTTGAGCAAAAGTGGAATCTAGCCATTGCAATATTGAAAAAATTTCATATTTAACAGGGTTGCATTCCAAATATCAATGCAGCTACAGTCTTACATTATCTCCAGATAAGATAAGCGCCCAATCTCTGGGGCCAAAGTTCCAGACAAGTTCAAGTTCGGTAGTTGCCTACAGACAAAGATAAAAGGTTATTAAACAAATGTGTCAAAAGAAGTAGTAGCAAAGAGAAGGTTTTCAAAAAACTGTGTCAAAATGTAATTAATAGAAGACTCATCCAAAGTTTACTTGTCTTTTTACATGAGAACTTGAGATTGGATTATCATGCTATGCATTGAGTAGGGTTAGGATTGATTCTAGAAGTAAAAGAAAGTTGATGAATAAGATAGATAGCTTGTTAAACAGAGATTATGCTTCAAGATATCTGAATTCATCAAATTACATTGAAAATATCATCATATAGAATTGTGCACTTATATTGTAGACAACAGCCCTCACAGAGATTATGCTTCAAGATATCTGAATTCATCAAATTGCATTGAAAATATCATCATATAGAATTGTGCACTTATATTGTAGACAACAGCCCTTATCGTAGTCAGTTGATTACACTAACTTCTCCAATCTAATTACTGTGGATTAAGAAAGTTTGGACTCACAACAACTATTGTGAATCTATTTGCACCTTAACAGACAAGAGGGAGAAAGATAAATAAAATATGGACCAAGAAAATGGAATCTTACCCAAGTTAACATGGGTTATGCAGAAAAGAAACGTAAAGTGGAAGATTAAAGACATACAATTGTTGAACATGTAGATAGCCATCGACTAATGTCGTACTGGAGCACAAAACCCCTGTCCAATTAGATGTACATGGGTCTCCGTTACTCCAGCTGCTCAAATTTCCATTAACATCAATCAAACTTTCCTTTATGGTTCTCAATGCGTCAACTGCAAATTAGAGCAAATCAAATCATCACATTATCAATAGAACCGATGAAAACAACATCACGCATTATAAGCATATTATTTTGGCAGAAATGAATATTTTTAATGAATCTGAAAATTATTATTTTAAGGGAGACATGAATATCATATTTATGGATTTGGCTAGTAGCTTTAGAGATGATGTTTTACATCATTAATACACATAGAAGTAAATAAATATTGATAAAATCTATTTGGTCCTTCTCAAGATAACATTAAAAAAATTCCATTTGGATACATATGCGATGAGATCCCAATAGAGTAGCTACAACTTCCAGAAACGCTTGTGAATCATAAAAGAGGTGCAAAGCATGGAATGCCAATCGAAGAAAAAAAAAAGAAAATGAAATAAAATATACCTTCAGTGGGGTCAGTCTGACCAACAGCGAGAAGCAAATAGCAACAGAACCACAAGCAGAGAACAACTTCACACCTACAACCCTTTGAAAGATACATCTCCGGAAGGTGGATATCACCAGACCTCTTGAATACCTCTCCTGAACTAAGCACAGTGCTTTTTTTGCCCTGATAACAACAAAAACCAGTAAGAAACATTCATGGTTGTGCATTAAAAAACAACCCCGTATGCTTCCAAGTCCAAAAGCTCAGCAGCTATAAAACTAAAGTAGAATAACCTTTTCAAAAGCAACCCGATGTATGCATATCTAGGTGCAAAAAAACCCAGCAGCTATCAAACAATACAAGAATACCCTTTAACGGGAAAAAAAAAAAGAACCCAAAATGCTAAAAGATTTTAACTTGCAAGCAAATATCATGAGAGAAGCAAAGATAACACGTAGGTTATAACCAGAGTACCAAAATATCAGCATTGAAAACTTCGTAGGCAGTGGCAAAGATAAGGTAAAACTTGTGACCTGGTCGCAAATGCAGCGGGGCAGTTGATGACGAAGGCCATCACTTTCATCACTGAAGGTGAATCAGTGCATGCGTAAACAGCAATAACCAATTAGAAAAAACAGTGTTCTCTAACGGAGTTAGTCGTTTTGACTTTGTGGAATCAAATAAGAAGAGGATTAATGCCTGAACGAGACAACCACAGAAGCAATAAAAAATGAACAGAAATTGACACCTCTTCATGTTTATGTGAGAGAGGGCTTTCCTAGTTCAAAGTTCAAAGTTCAAACATCAAACTTCCTACGTTATATAGGGAAATATTTTTAATAATACGTATGAGAAAAGTTTGAACGGAAAGGAATATAAAAAAAAAAAAAAAAAAAATCAAATAAAATAAATTAAGAGATTAAAATGAAAAAAAAAAAATTATCCATTTTTTAAAGTGTTTTATTAATCTCATGTTAAAGGAGATAAGTTATCTTCATGTCATAGAGATAAATTTGTGAGCTCTACCACCTAAAAAATAAAAATAAATAAAAAATATGATACATTCATCGAAGAGTGTGTAGAAAAAAAGTCATCACAAATAACATAAGAGTAGTTTTTTCCTTTTTTTTAAATGGGTGTACCGAACCAAAGATTTGCTCGATATATAGCTCATGTCTCGTCATTTATCAACGAATCCCCCGCACGTTGCAAAATTTTAATCAGTTTTATACAATCCTAGATTTGTTTTATCCTTAATTTAGCTTCTTCTCTACTTATGATGAGAAATTTTAGTTAAATATTTCTTTTACAAAAGCTTTTTGGAATTTTTATATTTAGTTTTTAGTTTTTCTTTTCTTTACAAATTTTATCATTCACCCTAAAAATTTACCCTATAAATAAATTAATTTACCCTATAAATAAATTAATTCATCTCCCCTTTTAAAATTGTAAAAATATTTTTATATAATTACCAAATAATTTTTAACTTTATTTTTAAGTTTTTTTAACGGTAATTTAAAAATAACTTTTAGCTTTAAAAAAAGGATTCGTTTTTTCTGCCGTAAATCTAATACGACGTCGTTTTGGGACGAAAATCATGGTATTTTTGTAATTTTAATTTATTTCAGGGTTATAATAATCTTTATATTTATAATTTTTTAAGATTTCAATACCAAAATGACGTCGTTTTTGAAATAAATACAGATAACTTATCTGCATTAACTGCAGAAATATTTTTCCCTTAAAAAAAATGTCTCAAACATACTCTTTATTCTCTTTCTCTTAAAAAAAAGTTACTTGTTATCAAAAAAAAAAAAAAAAAATTACTTATTTTTTGTATTTAAGTTTCAAATTCAATAATAAAAAAGGAGGGAAAAAAGGGTTTCAAAGTAGGCAGTATATTTTTGTTAGACTTAAATTCTGTTTTATTTAAGTATCAAAAAGGGTTTCAAATTCTATAATATTTAAGTATCTTTTCTGTTTTATACGAATAAATAATTACACATTTTTGTTTAAAAAAATTATACACTTGTTTTTGGATTAAAAAACTTAGGAGAGTATGTACCCAAAAAAAAAAAAACTTAGGAGAGAAATGCTGCCTTATTTTAAGGTAAGAGGCACAACACAAGTTTAAAGAGTATAAAATGATACTTGCAGATTATATATAAATAAAGAATTCATAATAAATATTCAATTCAAAACTTTTTTCATAATTGAATGAAAATTTTTAGAATGTGAATAAAGTAATTAATGACAAAATTTCAGCCACTTATTTTGCTGTTTATGAATGTTATGTGAGAAAAATGTTTGTGCATATATAATTAGGGGTTTGATTTTCTCATGTTAAATGAGAATTCAATTCTCATGTTGTAGAGATAAAAAGTATGTGGGACCCAGGTGTTAGAAAAAATTATATGTAAGACCCATGTCAGCACGGAAATCGAAGGGTGTGTAGGAAAATTTAAATTCTCATGTTAAATGAGAATTATAAAACCCATATAATTATTATTGACCATTTAACAGATTCATTTAAATATTTATAAAATATGATAATGATCCGTGTACACATCAACAAAAATGAACCTACATTCTTTGATTCTATCGATTAAGAGCACGTGTGGATAGGTTATTTTCCAATAAGTTTTTTTAAATAAAAAAAGCTTTGATATTAAGTTTGTATTTAATTAGATGTAACTTTTTCATAAAAAAAGAAGAAGCTAAAATGGTTTTTTTTTAGTCAAGATTTTTACTTCTGACAAAAATACTAATTTATACTTAAAACTACTTGTTAGATATTGATACAAATGCATAATAGCTATGTCTTTTGAAAAAAAAAAAACTTTTTACAAAATAATGCACAAATTTAATTTATTTTATTTTTTTAAAAAAAAACTCATCTAAACGGTTCAAATTATCGTTTTTTTAGCCAACTCTCACTAGCCACTAACATGTAAATCAAAATGAATATTTTGAATTTGTGTGAAAAAAAAAATATCAATTATAGCTGAGTTTGAAAAATGGGAACAAGTCGTTTTTTGGTTATTATTTTCTTTTTTATTACCAAGTCAAATGGTCCAGTTTAAAGGACAAGATTAAGCTTCCTATTTTGATTTAATTTGTCAAGGGTATTGGTTTGATTTAGCTTGATTTATTATGTGTGTTTTAAGCAGTTTGACTGGGCTTTAGTTTGACTGGCTATATATGCCAAAATATATATATAACGTATCAAATGAATTGAGCTTGAGCCATCTAGAAATCAAACTAATTCTTTTACGCAAATTCTCACAAAGAGTAAAATAAGAATAAATATTTTGGGGTCCTCAACAAAAAAAAGACTAATATATATTCATTTTCTTTCTAAAAGATTCAAAAAAGATTCATATTAATCTCTCAAAAAAAATTAATATAAATATTTTTTATTTCTAAGAAATTAAAATGAATTTTATATTTTTTTTTGTTAAGAATCCAAAAAGAGTATTTACTCGCAAAATAATTAGCCCCGGTTGCACAGTTCTGGCCTATGGGGTAAGTTATATTACTGTCCTGAGTATTATAAAATGATAAGAGCTTATTCTGGTCTTAACTTGATCTTAGCTAGGCATAGCCCTGTTATATAGTTAACTAACTATTGTTAGTGAACAACATCAATAAACTTTCAAAAACTAATTGCGAGACTTGAAAGGTCAAGACCAGCAATTAACTGTTTAACTTTTGAGATGATGAAAAAATATTTCTATTTTCCAAATTGAAGATGCGAATTTATTTTGTTTTCCTTTTTAATATTGGACGTCTCCTAACTCCTATATAAATCCTTGCACTTTTTAAGATTGAGAAAGTTATACTGACTGTGAGTAGTAACTATTAATAAAACTCACGGGAAATTGAACCTGACAATTTTAAGTCAAGTTAGATACTAGATCGTTAAACGACAATAGCATTAACTTTCTTTTGTCATGCACATATCTATACTATATAAAAATTCAGAATTAGTCTGTAAAAAAATTTGTCACGTGTAATTCATATAATGACTTAGATTCTTTTAAAAAATATAAATTTTTCATCTTAAAAAAAATTTAAATTATATGGGTACGTTACTCACAAATTAATAAAATTAATATTAATTTTGAATTTTGAATTTCAAATTTAAAATTTGAATTTAAATATAATCATGAAATTTAAAACCAATTAATTAGATTGGTTAGCTAAAATTAAGGAAACAAATCAATTGAATAAAAAAAGAAAATTACCTAATATGATTGGGAAGTAATGGGGCGCTAATAATGGGGATTGATTAGCTATCATATTTAGTTTTTCTTTTTCCTTAATTAAATGAGACATTTTTTTTATTTTGCTCCATCCAAAACCTTAGTCGAAAATTACTTATTACCAATAATTACCTTGAGGCAGGTAGAACCATGGTAGTTAAAATCTTGATTTAAATATTAAAATCTTGATTTTAACGATTTATTTTTGCTAAAACGATTTAGATTTCACTTAAAATCCTTTCCAATATAAAATCTCGATTTAGACATTTATTAAGTCCCAATTTTAAGATTCAAATCTCGATTTTAACTATTAGAATGATGTTAAGCAAGTTAGAAAAATTGTTGAATATAACATTGCTGATGTTTCATCCGAAGATGAATGGATTGTGGAAAATGAAGGAACTTTATCTCATGATGAAAGTTTAGATGAAGACAATTTTGAATTATGTAGTTGAAGATCACGTGGAACAGAATGTCTTCGATGATAATAACTTAAATGATTTATTAGCTTAGACCCTCAGAGTGTGACAATTGTTGGGTTTGCTCTTTTACTAAAGCCCAAATGGGTTATTAGTATGAGAAGAGCCCAAGGAACCTAGAGCCCAATGAGCTAGGGTTTCTTGGAACCCATATAAATAGTACCTCTTAAGTCATCAGCCTCCAAGGTCCTTTTTGTGAGAAAGAGGCAAGCTCTGAATCTAATCAGTGCCCACACACTTCCCCTTCCTCCTCGAGAGATAGTTTGGAAGATCTGCCACAGTCCAGCTTCAAGGAGGTTGTTCGTGCTGCGGCGCTGAGGTGAGCTGTTCGTGAAGAGGAATCCTACAAGGGAAGATTCTACACGAGACCTGCGCACCGAGAGGTAATTGTGAAACAAGGATGATTCGGTAAGCATACCAATGTACTAGGTCCTAAACCGCTTCCGCATAAATCTAAGATTTCCTACAATTGGTATCAGAGCCTTGGCTGTACATTGGTATGTGAATCTAGTTTCACTATTCATTAATTAGTTTTGCTTCTTGAAATGTGGCACCTAGGGTTCTAGGATTATGGTATGAATCTAGCATGTGCATTTTATAATTCATTTTCATAAAAGTTTAAATTTTAATCGGTAAAAATGCTTTAATCCATGGTTAGGGTCTCTCGTGT